AGCTCTGACGTCCGCATACGTTTGTCGATTCCAGTTGCTGAAGCAAGAGTTTGGGCACCTCGTTCTGGAAAACAAACAAACTGATAAGGCAGACTCAGGCGATTCAGCACCACGTGGTCGGCTGCTCAGCTGCCGCAACATAAGATCTTCAGCACAGCCTGCAAGGAAGTCCTGGGATAGACATTGGAACTGGTGCTAAGGGAAAACCGAACGGGAGGAGTAGCAGAACCAGCTAAAGTCCACTTCCGCCAAGCAGTGACAGGAGGAAACCAAAATACAATAGGGTTGTCTTCAGGGGCAGTCCTTGCAGACGAAGGAGTGTGCCGCTTGCAGAAGGGGGCATCTGTAACTTTGTCTGTCTGGTGTTGACAAATATATTTGAATTAGGCATGTAGACCCTTACAAGGCGTTAGTAGGCAAATCGTCTACAAGCATTACACAAAAATGATTTGTAGTGTTGATGCGTGTAGCGAAGAGCGCTTGTTTGCATTGGCTTGGATAAGGGACTATGTTGTACTTTGAGTCTCTGAAAGACTCGCTGTAAGCCATGCCACTTCGCCACTCGCAGTTCCAAGTGTAACGCAAATCCTCGGTCTTCTTCGGGGACTTTTGAGAACTGCAGGGGAGCCAAAATAATTACGATAAGAGCTACAGCGCCCCGAGGGTCTGGAACGAGGGGCCCGATGATTTGCGTTACACTTGGAAATGTAGGACGCGACCTGCCGTAAATTTCAACGCACCTTACTGCAACACAAGTTGCTGGGCAGCGTCAATGCAACCCTAAGTACTTGGCTGTATACATGACACTGTTGACCATTGGTGACAGCTTTTGCTTGCGTACAATTTGTCCACTAGCCTCGGGTCGCCAAGTAGTTCATGTTTCCTCCTTGCATAAACTTGAAAAAAAAAAACAGGACCATCCTTGCTACACCATACTACACACATACAGACTTTACACGGCCTCACTGCAATTAGCTGTTTTAGCGCATAGAATGGGGTTTCCTCTAATTTAGGAGATCTTCAACGATCTTAATATGCCCATGTCTTCCTGTTGTTCGGCACAAGCCTGCAGAGGCCTCCACTGAACAGCTGGCGGCTGGCTACTCTGGCCTCCAATATCACTTTCCCACACTTCCCCTCCGGGTTGTCACTGTGGAGACATTTCCTGCTTCTATTTACTTTGTATGTGTCTACAACTATGCTTCCAGAAAGAGCAGAAAAGTCACAGGTCAGTCCGTGGTGAATTAGTTCAGTGTCCCGTGCAGCGTCACAGCGCTGTGCTGAAGCTGTGCATGCAGGACGACAGCGCGCAGATGGGCCCTGAGCATTTGCCCACCCCGTAACATATTCACGAGACATCTTTTTATCCGCCTTTTTTCATCCGTTTAATGTTTGTCTTTGGCTGCCCGAGGCTCCTTTAGAGGCGGAGGGCGGAGGGCGCAACGGGGACACCAGGGGGGCTGCTGGCGTTCGGTATCCCATGAATTGCGGAGACACGTGAGACCACAACCTCTTAGCTCCACAGAAGAGGTCTGGACTCTCCGCATCTCGATACACCTTCTGACGTTCTTCAGCGGTCACCAGGTGCGGGTGTTCTGTTGCGACACTCAACAGGCTGCCCGTACACTAAGCAGTGGGAGGTTTGCAGCTGCACTGCGCTCATCGGCGTGCCTTCATCTTCTTCCTCACAGTAATTGGGAGCACAAGAATTCTTTGCAGGATGGATGCCCTTATGATTGTTCATCAGCTGCAGCGGCTCGCCGCAGAGCCCCGCCCTTCGGCAGCGGTGAGGGCGAAGATACCCCGCATGGCACTGGGCATTTGCTACTTCCTTGAACACCCAGACCGCGGTGTGCAGCACCAAGCTGCGGGTGCTCTGAGGTTGTTGCTGCAGCAGCACAAGCAGCTGGTATTGCAGGCCCCTGAACTCAAGGACATGCTGACTGCCCTGCAACAACACACCAATAGCGACGATGTGGTTGTTAGTGAATGCTGTTCTGCATCGTTGGCGCTCCTTAGGCAGGACGAAAAAGAGCACCAGCAGCAGCAGCAGCAGCAGCAGCAGACGGAAGACGACACGCATGCGGAGCCGCTGGAGTCCCTCGATCTCTTCTCCGTGGTATTGGGCCTCAGAGGCCTGTTGCGCTGTCCTACGAACCGTAGCCTCCTTAACTTCTCGACGCAACAACAACAGAAACAGGAAAATGAAGGTTCGGAGCAGCAGCAGCAGGAGAACCAGGGTCAACGGGTGCTTGAGCTACTACAGCGGGACCTTCAGCTGCGACTTGTTCGCGTGTGGGGCGTTTCAAGCGCAACAGTAACTCTTAACGCTCCAAGTTTGCTGAAACAAGCGGCGGCGCTGTCACCCGACAATGCAAGGGAGAAGACGGGACTGAAGCAGCTGAGTGAAGAGGGCGATGGAGTTGCCGTAGTGAACATCAGACTTTCCCGCAAGACCCAACGGCTTCAGCAGCAGCTCAGAGAGCTGCGTGCTGCTATGGGCCCCCTGACATTGCTACTGAACTCCGAGCTGCTACAGAAGGCGCCACGTAAAGAAGGCGAAGGTGCCGCAGAAGAGTCTGCCGGAGCCAGCGCGCCTGAGGGGAGTGGCAGCAGCAACAACGGCAGGGGCGACTCAACAGCCTCTGCCGGACTCGGCAAGCAGCAACAACAGCAGCAGCAGCGAGATGATGGGGACGGATATCTAGATGAAGAGCTTAGAGAAAACTGGGGTGACACGGAGGATGAACACAAGGTGAACGCATCTCCTGCAGGCAATGCCGGGAGCGGCGGGTTTTCGTTCTTCAGCGCAAACTCAGCTCTTTTTGGTGAGTTGAGCACCAGGCGTTTGGGGCGTTTAGTTGCCTTGCAAGTAGACCAACGGATTGGCGTATTAACACTTCGATGAATGCTGCAGTCCAGGGCTGATGGGTTCCAGATGCTCATGCGATGCCTTGTGTTCATCCCATTTGCCACATTTATCTTATTGTGAGGCGCTCCCTTGTCTCGGTGGCGTTCTTAGGGCAGTATTTTGCGCAACAGAACTACAGAAGGTTCCTTTCGTGTCTGATGGCAGGCGGGTTCGTTTCTTGGTTTGATGTGTGCGCGCAGCTCAGTCTCGTTTCATGGGCGGAATGATAACCCCTTCAGAAGTCAACCCCGAGATGAGTGCGAAGCTTAGGGCAGAAAAGGAGCGTAAAGCGGCATTGAAAACACAAGCCCAAGGAGGCATAATGGACAAGTTGTTGGGCCGACTAGGGTCGGGTGCGAGGCTGTTCTAAGGGATGGCAAAAGGTGCTTATTTAGTTTGAAGTAACGAACTCCGGAGTGCAGACTTCGCCAGCCCTAGATTCAGGAACGCCCAGGGAAAGGAAATGGTAATGAACAGTGTCTAAAATTTTTTGTGTGCCAACATGTTCTACACCCGCCGCTGCAGTCGGTTCGTTCTGATCGATACTTAAATAGCATTGGGTGTCACGCAACACGAAGGGCACGAAGATGGGCGCCCACTTTGAGCCGCACAGACATGCCAACGCCTACACCAAAGGCGCTGCTGAACGCCTGGCGGGTTGGCGCCCCGCCGGTTGTCAGCTTGCGGTATCTACTACCCGACTGTTGATTGAACATCTCAGTATGGTTGAGCTGAGTTTGTCTGCTTGCATCTACGTTGCCTCGTCGCACGCGAAGCCGCGGAGGTGGATTGGCGCGGCGAATTTCAGATCCCCTTCTCTTTGAGGGAAACAGCAAAGTTTCCTCCGAAATGTATTGTGCAACCGGCGTGGAAGGGACACCTCAGGATTTAGCTCTCGGTTCCGCTGGTTGGTTTGTTGTATTTTGGCTGCCAGGTTTTAGTTGTATTATTTAAGGCAGTATCTTGTGCACACGGTTCAGAACCCCGACAGTTTTTTTCCAGCACAGGCCCCAATGGAGGTGTTCACTTCTAACCGTAGTGGAAGAAAAGCACTACGATCAACCTCACACTAGTGCGGAAAATCCATTCGATGCACCAGGGAGTAAAGAACTTGCGTCGCGTTCATCAGTGGGGCTGCTTCGTGGGGCCTCAAATGTATCACTGCATGCGTGTGTATCATCATTTCCTCTTTGTCGCTAGTAGTCTAGGGAATTGGTTATGGAATGCAGTTGCCAGGCGCGGTGCCTCAACCGGCGGGCTCTTTCAGCAGCCTTCTTACTTTCCTTCTCGTTTCCTTTAGAGAGGGCCAACTTGAGTGATCCGACGGAGGGACTACAGGGTCGGGTTCGACTTTTAGGGGGACCCGTATTGCAGTGTCTTTCTTTGCTGGCGAATTAGGGTCACACTGGACACCTTTTTCTCCCGTTGCATGCCACATTGGCTTGTTCCTCAGTGGACCAGAAAATTCAACCCCATAATGCATACAGAGGTATCCCGTTAAGTGGAACTAGGAAGACGAGATGCCGTGCACGTTTACCGTGGCTGGGTGGGCCCTGTGCGGTTCAGGAGCTCGTAGTCTACACGCCAGATATTCATGTAAACCGGGCTACTTTCATTCAGCTTTAAATAAAATTAATCAAGAATCAGATTGTCTGGCGTTTGTCCTCCCCAAGATAAAGATTTTCGGGGGCCGCTTGCAAATAGAATGGCCTGGTCCTCTACGGCCCAGGCCCGTAGGTACTAGGGCATGCGTCTGTTGCAAACGGCTCACTTCCGGACCCCCAAAGCGTGAGAAAGTGAAAAACATCAGTGATGTTTGGCTTTTTATTTCCGTAGAGGCATTTTAATGCACCGAAGAAAAAGAGAAACCTAGAAATTTTCTGTGAAGCGCGAGCTCACCAGCGACCGTCGGTGACGAAGGATGCAGAAGCTGCCACCTGGAATATATTTGTCATTTAACTTAGCAGTCAGGGGAATTCATGTGAATTTTTCTTCTCCGGCTTAGCCCCCCCGCAAAGCCGCTTAAAATGGCAAACCGAATTCCAGCTGATGCGGCCTGCGCGTTCGACGGGATGCTCCCGCCAACGGACTCAGCCGCATTTTTGACCCACTTTGACTTTTCTGCAATAGATGAAATGGACCCCTCTCTTGGCAAGTCAGATATTATTCGTCTGCAGTCTTTTATGGGTTGATCCACCTCTACTTATCCACTTACTCGCCACGGCCCCCCCTTGCCGAGCGGTGTAGCTGTCCCTGTACGCGGCAGACTGCTGCGCGACTGCTGCTTACTGCGCGGGCCTAGGCAAACACTGGTCTGTGCCTTCTGCTGGGGAGACTGTTAGGAGCACAGACGTTTCACTGCAAAAGAACGAAGAACTCTGGTACTGTGTGTGTCATGCCCTATTCTCACCTGCAGCCGATGGCCATGTGATCCTCTATGAACGAGAAGTTCCCTGCGAGCTCCGCATGCAGGAGGGTTCAAAAGCACCTCAGGATGTGGGAAGACTCGAGCCTATCAGGGTGAAAGTTCTAATTATGGTCAGTACATTCCCAGACTCACACGTTCACACACAACACAACCAGGCAGACCAAAAGCCATGAAGGTCGTGCAGGCTCCTAGCAGGACTAGGGCACCTCCCTTCTTCTTGGGTATGACTTTTCAGACGAATGTTATTTTGTGGTTTGTAGGGGGAAGAGACAAATCCCCAAGAAGTTCGGATCGAACTGGCCAGCGAGAACGACTTGTTCTTCCATTATACCCATGTGTATGTGCATTCCACTACATTCCCCTACTGCCCCCCATTGATCTCCTCACGCCTAGTACAGCAGCACGCTGGGCCTAACCCCGGGCATGTGTGGAATATTCCTTGCTCCGTTCGAATCTTTAGAGCGCAGGTTCCTTTGGTGCTTCAGGGTTGATGAAAAGGCTTTTCGGCAGATGCAACAAAACCAAAAGTTGATGATTGAATTCGCGGATTATCCGCACGTTCTTATGAAGATGCTCAACTCGTGCATCAGAGAACCCCAAAGGTACAGGCATTACTACGCCCAACTCACGTTTTGGCAGTACCCTTGCGTATGTGTTCATCCTGAAACACCAGCAATAAACTGTACGCTTCTAGAGTTAATTCATGATTAAACAACAAAGGAAGCTGAGTGGTTGCGAATTTTGAGAAAGACCGAATGCTTGTCCCCCCTGACAGTGCTATCTATGTTGTGTTCTGCTTCGCACGAAGTTTTCTTGCTGTCTTTATAATGGAGACGACGGGAAAAGGCCGGCTCGATTTTATTCAGGTACGGCATAGGGTTTGTACGAGGAGGAAATGTCTAGTAGGCATTAATGCGGCGCCTTTTGTGCCATTCGCCTGTTTTGCCTTTCATGCGTTCACTATGTACTCAGAACATGGAATACAAGTTCATTGAGCTTCTATCGTGTGACTTTCGCCAAAGCTCAGAAGAAGTCATTCGGCAGCAGATGTCTTTTCGCTACAATGCGCTCAAGTCAAAGCTTGCCCTTATGCATGTGAGCATATAATGTTCCGTTGCACGCATTTCGATCACAGGTTGGAACTAGGGGGCTACAGAGTTTTACTGCAGGCGTTTCCGCTGTGCGGCTCTACAGGCGAGACTACACGACATTGGAGCGCTCGTCAAGGTCAAAAGCCCATCGCTGTTGCTGCATCTTCAAAAGTCTGCTGCCCATCAGTTGCAGACCAAGCGTGGCGGGATGCGCAGCTCCACGCTGAACACGAAACCGTAGGAACACTGAAGGAAACTCTAGTAGGATACGCTGAGGTGATATGTGGGAAGTCGACATTCCAGGGGAACAGAGATGCTGGGCTTGTTGACGCTGGGTTGGGACATTCAAACTAGTGGTAGGAGTCCTGACGAAAATTGCGTGGAGTGGATGGAAGGCCTGCATGTGCCTTCCAAGTTCACGCTTCACGCCGGAGCATGTTGCAGCTGCTCGTCGCAGCCATTCTTTGACTGTGACCATGCAAAAAAGTGGTAGCTAGGTTGGCAGTATACGTCAAATATCTCTTTTTGTGAGTGGGCTGCTAACCTTCTGCACAATTAGACCCAATTAGACCCGTCTCTAGTTGTATTTTGCTGAATCCCAGACAGGTGTATACCACATAATCGAACCCGACAGAAAAACAAACATTTCCACTTGAATAGTCTAGAAGCTTTTCGAGGGTCTACGTGCCGTACAGTCAATAGAGCTAACATACAGCGGGCGGGCATAGTCTGAGACCGCGAGCTCAGTAGCGCGTCATTGCAGGAAAAACTGTATTTGCTTGACGGTAGCTCCACAGGAATTCCCCTTCACCATATTACCTCTGTGATGCCCTGACTTTCCCACCAGTGCATATAACCTCAAATATTGTGGGCGAAACCATGCAGCTGCCCCGTACCCCCGTTTCTGCCCTCTTCCGATTCTAGTTCATACTGCTCGACTTGACTTCATCAGGAGACGCAAAATAAGCATACCTTTTTCAAGAGGTATTGCGAGTGCATGGAGGTTTGCTGAAGCTACAGGCTGAATACCATAAACACAGTAAACCGCGTTTACGCGCCCCGAGCTTATCCGCAGGGACGAGGCTCTCCTGGTGCCATTACCGCCGAATATGGAGTCTAATTTGCTTAAGCTTATTCTCCTATAGTAATATACACCACTTAGCGTGCGTTAGACTACACTCACACTGGAGGTCTGTTTCGTTGCGAGGGTTTTCACGAGCTATGCATTATCAGAGTGTAGGGGCAAGAGGGAGGCTGTTGATCTGCATTACGATCTCTCCAGAGCACGATTGGTTTTGCATACATTAGAATAACAGGGCTGTTTTTCAACTATTCTCTCTAGGTACATTTGTCGGCAGAAACGCTAGCATGGAGCCACGCAGAAACAGGCCTGGGAGATAGTCCCCTGGGTTTAAGGGACCGCAACCTACTCCACCTCAATAAATGCAACTTTTTGTTTTCTTTTCAGAAGCTTAGAATTTTTTCAGGAAACCAAGCGGGCTGTCACCTCTCAGTGAGTTCTGAGACATGACAAATATTTGGATATCTGGTCCCCGTGGTCAACAGCTCCCTGCAGCTGTACACAGTGAGCAGCCGATCGACCTTACGAGGCCTGTGTGGGCTGTAAATAGGACCGTGGTAAAATATGTTTTAACAGTTAACTCCTTTTTAATTTTTGTGCTGTTAAGTACGATTAAGCGAAGCTTTCTCTCTCTTAACCGTCTTGTCCGAGGTCACCGGGGAGGAGACACGTAGAGAACCCTGCCTTTGGTGCGTGGCAAAAAGAGGAGTTTGGGGGGAAATTTTGGCTAAATTTAAAATTTGAAGGTATTTAAGGGGCTTTCAAGTTGTCAGCCTCCCATTTGCCTGCATTATACACTATCCTTTCCAACGGGAGCTGCTGGTCAAGAACGCTTGAACAGCAGCGCCTCGGAGGGAATGAGTTAATTTAATGAACAAGAAATACCTGGTCTGCCGACATGTTCACAGTGTCTCACCGAAAATGAGAATCGAAGAGGTCACTTCACTTCAACATGCACAGCGAGTGGCATCTCACAGCCACATTAAGGGCCTTGGACTCCTGCCCGACGGGTCGGCCAAAGACATCCATATGGGCATGGTCAGCCTCAGAAGTGCACGTGACTTGATTTTGGTTCATTCGTCCGCCAGAAAACTCTCCTCAGTTTTTTCACCATTAGCAGCATCTCGTTAGGGGGCTTCTCCGGTGGAAGTCCCGCAGGACACTGAATGCTGCGCGATAGCAATAGTTAGACAAATGGCGAGCCAGCACCCGAAACTGCATGCCACATAAATAAGAGTAGGCAAACCGATTCTTTGGCAGAGCTAACACTGTCTTCCGGGGGGTTTGCTCTTTTGGTGCGAAGGTAGGGCAACACCAAGCACGAGAAGCGGCAGGGCTCATCGTGGAGCTCATTAGGAATAAGCGAATGGCTGGGAAGGCCCTACTTCTAGCTGGTGGGTGAAGAAGCTAGAGTTTTATAACTTCTTCCCATAAGTATAGAAACGCTCTGAGAATTGTCACGCTGCTCATCCAGTCGCATCCAAGCCTTTGGAGGAGTCCCGCTAGCGCTGTGCAAAAGGCAAAGCCTATTTTCTGAAATGTACAGGGCCACCGGGCACTGGCAAGACCGCAATTGCCATGGCGATCGCCCAGGAGCTTGGCAGTAAAGTGCCATTCTGCCCCATGGTAGCGAGCGAGGTTTGTTGTAGTTTATTGAGGCAAAGAAAAGATGCTATTTGGGCATTTGGGCACATGACAAGAACACGGAATTCAAACGGAAAAGGAAACACAAGCAACGTTCTGGAGAAGTTTCGAGATAGCTGTCATGCCTACACGGTACATCAAGGACTATTTTGGCATTTGCGTTCTCAGGTGTACTCCAGTGAAGTAAAAAAGACAGAAGTCCTCATGGAAAACTTCCGCAGGGCAATCGGGATTAAGATAAAGGAAGTAAAGGAAGTGTTTGAAGGGCAGGTGGTCAGCTTGGTGAGTCGGCAGTGCTATCTCGTTGTCGGCTTATCCATCTTATTTGCCGCTGTGGGGAATTGTGCAAAAGGCACAGAAGCCAGCCAGTCGATTGTGCTTGCAGACGGATGAGCCGAGCGACATGTTGACAGTTCCAGAGAACTCATCCCGTAGCGACCCTCACGAAGAAGTCCCTTGCCCTCCCGTGCGAATCACTCTCAAGACGAGCAAGGGTTCGAAAACGCTGCGTCTCCACTCTAGCATCAACCAGGGTCAGCTGAGGCCTCTCCTTGCGTCCCAGTTTTGCTTTTGCACCATTCGTTATCCGGCAGGCATTCAAATGTACTCTTGGATTCGGGTGTTTGTGGCACGAGGTTTGCCTGTTCAACTTTCTCAGGGCTGAAGAAGGAAGGAGTTGCAGTAGGAGATATCATTTATGTCGAAGCCGCTACAGGCCAGGTGCGCCGAGTCGGGCGCAGCGAAGAATATGCTGGACAATTCGATTTGGAGGCTGATAAGTTTGTACCAGTTCCAAAAGGCGACGTCCACAAGAAAAAGGAGGTCATACAGGTATCCACCTCAACTTCCTTTCGCGGAGCAGTGGAAAGTCTCCGGGTGGAACGAGATGTTCACTTCAGTGTGCTTCATGTGATGCATGCATGCCCGTAAACATCTTCAGGATGTGACTCTGCACGACTTAGATGCTGCTAACGCCAAGCCAACTGGCGGCGCTCCTCTGGCGTCTCTCTTAGGACATTTTTCCAAGCCTCGGAAGACCGAGATCACAGAAAAGCTACGACAGGAAATCAACAAGGTCGTCAATAAGTATCTTGACCAAGGAGTCGCTGAACTAGTGCCTGGGGTCTTGTTTATTGATGAGGTGCTGCAACACTTCCACCGTGCATGGGTCGCATCGCCTCTTAGCCGAGGCGAAAACTGTTTTGGGCTAGGAATACGCAGTTTCTGGGGCACTAGAGAGTGTTGCAATTCTTGTCAAACACGTTACTAGTTGCTGTGGCTACTATTCACCTGGGTATATTCAGGTGCACATGCTGGATGTGGAATGCTTCACATACTTAAACCGCGCTCTTGAAAGCCCTTTGTCACCTGTCGTTGTCGTCGCCACAAATCGGGGCGTCTGCACTATTAGGGGAACGGATGTCATGAGCGCGCACGGGGTTCCAGTAGATTTACTGGACCGCATGCTAATTGTTCGTACAGAGCAGTACTCTAAGCAGGAAATAAGGGAGGTACGTTGCAGTAGCACTGGCTAATACCCATCCTAGACTGGGGATGGCCAGGAGAAGGAGCCGACTGTGTTGCGGAAGTAACCGGCTTCCAACTAAAATCCCATAGCTCATGCTTGCCAGGTGGGTCTCCAATTCATTGTTTCCCAGGTGCTGGAGATTCGCTGCCGTGCAGAAGGGCTGTCTTTGAGCCCGGAGGCTGCCGAGCTGTTGGCATCCGTCGGGGTACGCACGTCGCTGCGTTACGCAGTGCATCTCTTAACTCCTGCCGCCATTTTGGCCCGGGCAGATATTACAGAAGAAGACTGTGAAAACGAAGAGTCAGGCGAACCCGTCATTCAGCTTCGGCACGTTCAGGAGGTTGACTCCGTGTTCCAGGACGCAAAGACGTCCTCAAAACGCCTTGCAAGAGAGGCAGATTTTTTTATCCAGTAAACATAAAAAACAAAAGGTCCCCTTACAACCTAAACGCATAGAAGGGCCGTAGCACGGCCTACGAGGCATAAGCAACTGCCTCCCCATGTTTGCGCGGCCTTCTGGAAGTGGAAATCGCGCACCAATGTCTTTCGACTCTCTACAAATAATTTCCCCTTTATAGCAATAGCCTTATGCAATGATATCCTTGTCACACGGTCCAAGCCATGCATATACCTGCTAGAACTAGGCATGAGGGCGGCTGGAAAAACACGTGAGGCGAAGTTCCCTCAGCCTCTGCCGTGAATTCCCGTCGCACAGGCAACTGGTCACGAAAGAATCACCCAACCCTTTGTGCTGCAAGGACGGACATCGCAGCCACTTTTTAAGCACTTGATTTTCTCTCAATAGCAAACATACAACCGCACTTCCATATGTAGTAGGTGCATTGGAACCTGTTCCTTCAGAAGTATTTAAACACTGCTCATGCCCAGTTGACACTATTTGGGGACACAAGCCCCTAGCTCTTCAGTCGTGTTGCGGCTGGTTCCCGTTAACTGTTCCACTACAGAATGGTTATGGGAGTGGGATCTACATTCAAAGCGAGGTCACCGGGCAAAACATATATATCTAGTTCCCGGAGCAGTCCCCAATTGTAGTGCGCAGCAGTCGTAAGCTGCGCCTACTTTCGTCATCTCGTAACATCGGGCTTTCGATCTACACTCCTAGCTACTTAGGTTCCCCGATGCCAATAATTAAATTGTCAAAACATTCGAGTCCCTATTATAAACAAAGTAAGTTCCCAGAATAATATAACTGATTGACTAGAATAATCAGAACGGATCCATGGCCTTCACTGGGGATAAGTGCCTGAGCAAAATAGCGGGGAAGTAGTAGTAAAGCAGCGCCAACCCAGTCAGGTGCCTGACCTATAAAGCTGCTTTCTATAAAAATGCCATAATTACAGATGTAATAAAAAGTATTTATCTCTTTACCACTCGTTAGATATCTAGAAGTCATACCTGGGGTACATAGTAGTGTATAAGCACTGCATTACACGGCAGACGCGGATAGAAAACACACTGACCCTCCTAAGCTACGGCTCTGTCTAACGGTATCACAATCCCTGCAACATTTAGTAGTATTAATTCCTTTTCCTATCTAATAATGTCCTAATCCCTAAAATATTTAATAGTATTTATTCCCTTTCCTGACCTAAAGCCTCTAGAGGTCACACCTGAGACACATCGTAGTGCCTGTGCACTACACAGTAGAAGACACGACCAACCAGGTATGCACGTGTTCATATTGCCTCGTAACAGGCTTTCTAATCGGTTTTTGGCGAAGCTTCGCTGCATAAATTTGGTCGAAGAAGCAACTTGCGAAGTCAGCAGGCCACTTCGCTAGCATCATCTCCGTCCTCTACGAGCACGGCAGGCTTCCGGAAACATGTCAGAAACTCACAATAGTAAGTTGATTCAAAGCTTAGCCTGCACTATGCGTGAACAGAGGTATTTTAACTCAGACACAACCGTGTGTACGAATGGCAAAGACTGCGTGGGCGGTGCACACCATGCAAAACATCTGTTGAGATTATCTGTGCATTCTTCGCTCCACTTCTCCCTGTGGGCTTGCTGAGTGACTGGCACTTCCCACCCCTTGCTGTCCATGCACCCCAAAGTAATGTAAGGTCGCTGCCGAACCAGCTAACACTCGCAGCAGGGGTGTGCGGTGGGATGATAAATTGCGTTGAACAGAGAGGAATATCCACTGTGAAAAACTACCCAACAACGGTGGGACCACATTTTTGTTATGCAGATGAATTATTCCTACGACCTGGGAACACCGAAGGTGGGGGGGCCCCGTTTCTACCAAGTGCAGTTGCTTCTCCCTCGGAAAGAAGACTCAGATTGGCGCAGCCCGCCGCCTTGAGTGTAGCATGCCAAAGTTCGGAAGATTTTGAAGCACAGAGTCTTGATCTGGTTCTGAGGAGCCTTCGGACGCTCCTGGACGCAAATCCATTTAAGCAGCTTGTCGTTGGCCTATCAGGTGAGGTAGTGGTGAGGGAACAACCAGATTGAGAGTGCGCATTCACAGCAATACCCTAGCCTTTTACCAGTGTAGATGCTGCGATAGGATATTAACGCGTCGAAATGTGTCCTTGGGCCGGGTATACAATCCCCGTTCCAGCGGGCAGTGCTGCCTATTGTCACGGTTTGTGGGCGAACGTTGCGTTGTCAGGCGGCAGCACTCCGGGACCGTTGTACGCTGCGTTGAGGCAGACAGCCATTGCACATGTTGAGAGAGAAAAAGGCCAAGCATCACCTGCAAGCGGACAACAGAGTTCAGGAACATCGTCGCACCTAGCCATTGATTTTTCGCGCGTGAGCTTTTTCCTGGTTGATGAACGATATGTACCACCTACGCATCCGAAGTCGAATGTCCGCCTGGTCATGGAGGAGTTGTTCGGACAGGAGGTTTGGAGCGACCCAGAAGCCGGTGGTGCCACGAAATTTAGGCCGACAGCTGATTCGTGGCCCCACCCCCGTTTCGATTTCTCATATCCAGACACATCCTTGCCCATGGATCAATGCATTGAGAAGTACAGAGAGGTGAGCTTCCATGACCCGGCGATTCCACTGCCTTGGGTTTAGGGGGCGGGGCGGGGGGGGTGGGGGGAGTTGAAGAACGATACTATATGGCCATCATCCCCCACGCCCACAAGAGACTTGCTGCACGCAGAGACCTTGCGAATTGTGTCATTAAGCTGCACTGTATCTGGTGGTGGCCGCACACTGTAGATGCTCTAATTGCTGATGCTTTGCAGCCACCAGTAGTCATCTGCAATGCTTAACCCCTGATTGTGCAAACAGAGCTTGAGCAACTTGCTCTGGAGACACGGAGGTGTGGACCTTGTGCTACTGGGCATGGGGGATGATGGCCATATCGCATCGATCTTCCCACCCCTCAGCATGACTCAATATGAGGCCTCAGTATGCCCAAGTACCATAGCGGTTCACTCAACAACAGACCGGTAAGGATTTTTAGTCTCGTTTGGGCATGCCACAACAGTCAGTTTTGAAGTGAATTCTAGGTGCGGGCAGTGACATCCTTTGTTGTTGGTGTTTGCTCAGCTTTGACGTCCATGATCGCATTTCCGTCACCCTGCAGGTGCTTGCTGGGGCGAGCCGCAAGGTGTTCCTTATAAAGGGCGAATCAAAGTTGGACACTTGGTTCCGAATGGAATCTGACCCGGAGCAGGTGGGTGAAGTTCCCAGCTGCTTTTACCGCATGTTTGGCCTGTAGGGGATTTTGGTTTTTTCATCTATCATGTGCGGCTGCATAGTTGCTGTGAATGACTTGCAGTCACCACTCATGTTCCCTGCCCTTGAGGTGATTGGTAGCGGAGGGTCCTATGTTGTTTCCTTTCCATCAATGGACGACTTCTCCAGAAGGCGGCGAAACGCTAGCCGTTTGCAGCTTCGGAAACAGTCAACACTTAGTATGCCCGAAATGCATCATCTCTCGGTGGTTGTCTTTGGCGCAAGCGGAGACCTTGCAAAGAGGAAGACATAGTACGGATGGCGTACAGACCTTGCTAGTAAATTGCATCCCACCTAAACAGCGCGCGTCCAATGTAGTCGATTTGCTTGATTTCGATTTCTCACCCGGTACTAGCTATGCTGTGCCATTCTGCATTTCAGTCCCGCGCTGTTCAGCCTTTTCTGTGAAGGGCTGCTACCTCCAAATGTGCATATCGTGGTAGGCCTCAATCTCATGTTGCCGCGGCACAAGACAGTTATAGACCTAACAGACGAAGTCTTGCATGAGCCCTGTTTGTGCTCTTCTAGATGGCTATGGGACGATTTTGATTGTTCCCTGGCCCATGCACATCGCCGAATATGTTTCTTCTGTGCAGGGCTTTGCACGATCGAAGCTAGAGTTGGGCGACTTTTGGCGACAGATTGCGGAGCATCTTACGTGCGTAAACTCATTTTTCGTAAATGAATAATATATAAGTATTTGCATATATATATATATATATATATATATATATATATATATATA